GGATGGTGTTTTTTCTCTCTCATGTGGGGATGTTTGTGCTGAAAAAAAAAAAAAAAATTAAAAAAAAGGAAAAAAAAAGAAAAAAAACCTTAAAAAACCAACTTTAAAAAAAAAGGCAAGAATGGAAATAATTTAAAAATTTTAAAAAACACACACAAAACCACAAAAAATAATTTAAAAAAATAATAAAAACAAAACAAAAACAAAAAAAATAAAAAACAAAAATCGAATGTAGTGTTTACATTGAAGCCACCGTTTTCATGACCAATCCTTTGTCATTTCTACTTTGATTAGTAACCAGACGTCTTCACGGTTTCACTTTTACGAGTTACCTTTGCTGAAGAAGAGCAAGTCACACCTGTTTAACAAGAAAATGGATTAAATAAAGAGGAAACTAAAAAAAAAAAAAAAAGTCTTTCTAAGCCTTTCTATTACCAATCAGTGAGGTTTCTGTGATATATTACACACTGCCAATCTCTTTCTCTGACTAATGGAAAAAAAATTCATGTGTAGCTCAATAAAGAGAATGTTTGTCTGTACCCCGGGCTCTCCCCTCCCGCGCCTCCGCCTCCTTCTTTCCCCCGCGCCTGCCTCCTTCCAAAGGGAGGAAGAAAAAACAACAAAAAAAAAAACAAAAAACCCCCCCCACTAAAAATCACATTTTTGGGGGGTTTTCTGCCAGTAGCACAAGGAAGAGGGGGCCGAGCTGAGAGTTGGGTGAAGACCTTGGGAAGCCCCTGCAGATGGCTCAGGGTGTATCACCGGGAGCAAAATTCCCACCAAAAAAACCTCCCCAACCAAGAAATAGTATTTTTATTTCTTTTGGGAAGGTGGAGGTGGCCATTAGGGTGAGTCCTGCATCTTGCAGTAACATCAGGAACCCCAAAACGTGCGAGTTTTTCCCCCCTGAGATACAGAGGAAGGTTCTCCAAGAGAGGTGAGGTTTGCTCCTTGAAGTGGGAGCAGTTTGGGGCTTGATTAGGGTGGGTGGTTTTTTTTTTTCACAATTTGGGTTTTTCATACAATTTGGGGTGGGTTTTTTTTTGCAGTTTGGGGTTTTTTTTGTTCTCACTCTCCCCTGTCCCAGGTCCCCCAGATCTGCACATGCAGGTGTGGGGCAGCGTGATGGCAGGTGGGACACTTAAGAACCAGTTGCCCCTTGGTGCAGCCTGGGACCAGGCTGGTTTCTGGGTACCGTGCTCACCATCTCCTCCCGAGCCACAGGAACATCTCCAAACCCCACGGGACCACGTGGACCATCAGCAAAGGTGGGGAAGGACCTGTGAGAAGGTTACCCAACCAGCCAGGAACCCCCACCTCAGCTTTGTTGCGCAAGGTTGGTTATAAAAGCTGCTCCATCAGGCAGCAGCACCTCCTGATCTCCTGCTCAACAGAGACTCTTCGATGGATTACAACCTGACTGAGCGGTCGGGCCCGAAGGGTTGTGATCAATGGAGTTTTCAATCCCGTTGGAGAAAAAGAGACCGAGGGGAGACCTTCTCGCTCTCCACAACTCCGTCAATGGAGTTTTCAATCCAGTTGGAGAAAAAGAGACCGAGGGGAGACCCTCTTGCTCTCCACAACTCCCTGAAAGGAGGGTGTAGCCAGGGGGGGTCGGTCTCTTCTCCCAAGGAACAGGCGATGGGACAAGAGGATGCGGCCTCAAGTTGCACCAGGGGAGGGTTAGGATGGGTATTAGAAGAAATTTCTTCACCAAAGGTGTTGTCAAGCCTCGGAACAGGCTGCCCAGGGACACAGTGGAGTCACCACCCCTGGGGGTATCTAAAAGCCGGGCAGACGTGGTGCTGAGGGACATGGGTCAGAGGTGGCTTTGGCAGTGTTGGGTCGATGGTTGCACTCGATGATCTGAAAGGTCCCTTCCAACCCAGACCATTCTATGATTTTACAGTTCTAGGATTCAAGTTCCTGCTGGTTACAGCGACTCAGAAGCAGCTCATTTTGGCACAGGGGAAGCCAGGGAGGCTTCTCCTCGGATGACCTCCCTTTCCAGGGAAGCGGAGCCAGCCGAGAGGCCACCACTGGTCCCTGTGCTCCTCCACACAAACCAGCCTTTCACGGCTGAAGTAGGTCGTTGTGCATCGGCGCCCGCAGGCAAGGATGCCATCCAGCGGCTCCCCAGGGACCAAAGGGAAGCGGAATCCAACAAGAAGAGGAGAAAAGTCCAGAAGGTGTTCTCAGGAACATCCCCACCCCTCCTTGGTTTAGTTCCAGGAGCCTCCCTGCACCCACCAAGCCCAGCAGCTCATCCCTGTTGCAGCCGGAGCCGTGGCAGGGTGTTGGGCAGGAGGGGTTCCTGCAGGACAGGTCCATGGCATCTCCTCCTTCCCCGTTATCTGCTGCTGGGAGAAGGGCTGGGCTCCACCACAGGGTCCTTGAGCAGGCAGAGAGAGGGCTGGTGGCCAAGAAGAGCTGCTTTACCAGCACCTTTCCAGGCCAGCATGCACGTAAGAAATCGGATTGGGGTTTTTTTATTATTAATTATTATTATTTCTATTTTAGTGGTGAAATCTGGGGTGGCTGAGATGCTGCACAGCTCACAGAGCAGCAGCAGAAGGGGGAGGTGGTGGGTGCAGCATTTAGCCCCGAGGAACCAGGGGCTCCTCATCATCCTCTGTGCTGGAGGAGGGGGAAGGAAACCTCTGCAGGGCACAGCTCTCCCTCCCCAGGAGGGTGGGCAGGCAGGAGAGGACATGCCAAGGTGGTGGAGATCTTGCAAGCCCAAATCCGGGTCAAGCCCAAAGGTCAAAAACTTGTCCTGGCTGCAGGCTCAGAATCATAGAATCACAGAATGGTTTGGGCTGGAAGGGACCTTAAAGCCCACCCAGTGCCACCCCCTGCCCTGGGCAGGGACACCTCCCACCACACCAGCTTGCTCCAAGACCCCTCCAACCTGCCCTTGAACCCCTCCAGGGATGGGGCAGCCACAGCTTCTCTGGCCAACCTGGGCCAGGCTCTCACCACCCTCACACCAAACAAGTTCTTCCCCACATCTCAGCTCCATCTCCCCTCTTGCAGGGTCCAACCCTTCCCCCTCCTCCTAGGGCTCCCCTCCCTGATCCAGAGTCCCTCCCCAGCTTTCCTGGAGCCCCTTGAGGGACTGGAAGGGGCTCCAAGGTCTCCCCGGAGCCTTCTCTTCTCCAGGCTGAACCCCCCCAACTCTCTCAGCCCCCCCTCCCAGCAGAGGGGCTCCAGCCCTCCCAGCATCTCCGGGGCCTCCTCTGGCCCCATCCAACAGCTCCGTGTCCTTCTGCTGTTGGTGGCCCCAGAGCTGGAGGCAGCACTTGGGGGGGTCTCCCCAGAGTGGAGCAGAGGGGCAGAATCCCCCCATCCCTCTCCCTGCTGGCCACGGGGCTGGGGATGCAGCCCAGGGTGAAGATGTACGGGGCCTGAAGTAGGGGTGACAGATACATTTCCAAACCAACCACCCGCCAGGAACACAGCAAATCACGCTACAGACATTTCCAAACAGTTTCCAACACTGACCAAGTTTTTATTTTTGGTTTTTTGTTGTGGTTTTTTTTTTTTGCTTTTTTTTTTTTAAACAATAAAAACAAAACAGCTGTGCTCTGAGCAAAACCAAAGATCTCCAAAAAAAAAAAAAAAACGGGCACAAGGCACACTGACAGCAGGAAAACACCTTGATAAACGTGCACACATAAGCTATGTATTCAAATAAGAGCCTGTATAACCTCAGACAGACTGTGCAGATAAGTTTACTAATAGCATTGCAAGGTAAGGCTTCCCAAAGAGTTTTATTGAAATAAATTATTTCCACCTAAACATCGACGCGACTCCTCTCATTAAATTCACCTTCAAATGTCCTAAAAACCAACAGTAAAAAAAAAAAAAGTTATCAACAATTCTAGATAATACTGGGCTCCTTCTAAAGGACAGCGATACTAGAACTCACTCTTCAAAAGTTTAAAAATTAGGTCACTGCCATGTAAAATTCACCTACGCGAGTGGATCTCGTCTCAAAGAGTTCATTAGAAAAATCAGAAATTCCAGGTCCAGCCCAAGGTCCGGCTGCCCCGGCTCCTCCAGTCCTTCCCAATAAACTCACAGGGAAGTTGTGGGGTTTCAAAAAAAAAAAAAAAAAAAAAAAAAAAAGAAAGAAACGGCAAAATATGGGAGCTCTCTCCAGGAAATCCCATCCATGTTGCTCGGGAGCCCAGAGCAGGCAGGTTTTTCTCTGGTACTCCCCTGGGTTGTGGTAACACTGACTCGAGGGGCTCTCCCCTCGCCTTGCGACCCCCTCTTCTTCTCTCCATTCCCCTCCGCCTCTCGCTTCTTCCTGGCCATAAAAGGCAAAGGAAAATAACACAGCCCAGAGCTCTGCCAGGGCAGAAGAGCCCAGCGACGGTAAACAGACTATTTTATGCTGGAATCTCTGCGAATCGGCGCTTTGCTGCACAATTCAGGAATTTATTTTTTCCCTGCGTTACGGAGCTAAACAACTTCCATCCGGTCTAAGAGCTGACTTTCCAGCGACGCGACCCCGGGGCCACGAAAACACCCTTCGCGCTCTCCACACGCAGAGACACGAGAGCAGGCACCTGCTCGTCTAATGCCAGCTTTGCTGCCAATTTCTAAACTTTCTTCTCTCTCTCTGTTGGATTAGATCTCCCCGACCTCCAGCTGAACGTGCCAGTGCCCTCCAGCACCCTGCACCCAGGGCTGCTTGCTGGGAAGATGCTTTTCTCCGGCCTCCTCACCGCCTAGAGCTGCAGAAATCACACCCGTGCCTTTAGAAAGTGCCTCGTTGTTCATCAAGGGGGATCAAGGTTACATAGAAAACATTACCAAAAAGAAAAAAACCCCAAAAAATAAACGGGTAATTTGTTCAGCTGTCCAAACATCATTAGACCACATGCTTTATACAGCAGAGCGGCAGCCAGCTCATGGGGCAGCAACAGCCAGCCGAGCTCTGAAGAAGACACTTTCCTGCTGGTATAGAAAGCGCAGGGTGTTGGGGGGTGGTTTGTTTTGTTTTGGTTATTTTTTTTTTTTCTGTATTTCATTTATTTATTGGACACGGCTCACGGGGAGGAGGAAGGAGGGGCGGCGGGCGCTAAGAGTTTTGCTGCATCTGGAGCCTGCGTTCGGCGGCGGCGGCCAGTGTCCTGCGACGCAGGGTGACGGCATCGGCCGACGCGCCCTCGGGGGGAGGAGGGGGTTTCTCTGTGCTCAGCTCCTCGTCAGAGGTTTTGTTCAGGTAACGCCTGCAAGAGGGAAAAAGGAAACACGGGTGAGCAGAGCCCAGCTCATTGTGCTGGCCACAAGGGCCATCGTGGCCAAGAGGACCAACAGGATCCTGGGCTGCGTAGGGAAGAGTGTGGCCAGGAGGTGGAGGGAGGTCATTCTCCCCCTCTGCTCTGCACTGGGGAGGCCACAACTGGAATCCTGCCTCCAGTTCTGGGCTCCCCAGTTCAAGAGGGACAAGGAGCTACTGGAAAGAGTCCAGCGAAGGGCGAAGAAGATGATTCAAGGATTGGAGCATCCCCCTGATGAAGAAAGGCTGAGAGAGCTGGGACTCTTTAGTCTGGAGAAGAGAAGGCTGAGGGGAGACCTTATCTACGTTTACAAGGATCTAAAGGTGAGTTACAGAATCACATGGACTGTACTGGAAAGTATTGCAGGGTACATGTTGCTGTGTCTGTTGCTGTTCTGCTTTTTGTAGGCATCTCCCAGTAGTTGCTGATGAAAGCAGGAAGATTGGGTGGATCTCGTGCCCTGACCTGTTGTGTCTCTTTGTATGCTCTGCTTCTCTGCAGCAAGTCTTGTTAAATTGATGTTTGCCTTGGGAGGCACAGGGCAGATTGATGGTGGGGTTAATGGGATGCCAGTTGATTACAGACATGCTTTTTTTATTCGTAATACGTAACATGAGATTAACGGACTCTCTCCAGTGGTTCCCAGTGACAGGACGAGGGGCAACGGGCACAAGCTGGACCATGGGAAGTTCCACTCCAATGTGAGGAAGAACTTCTTTGGGGTGAGGGTGGCAGAGCCCTGGAAGAGGCTGCCCAGGGAGGGTGTGGAGTCCCCTTTTCTGGAGATCTTCAAGCCCTGCCTGGATGCTCCTGAGTGATGTGCTCTGGGCAGCCCTGCTTTGGCAGGGGAGTGGGACTGGAGGATCTCTAGAGGTCCCTTCCAACTCTGACAATTCTGTGATTCCATGGAAATACCTCCCTGGTACATCCACAAGGCAAGGGAGGGCACAAGGCACACTGAAAGCAGGAAAACACCTTGATAAAAGTGCACACATAAGCTATGTATTCAAATAAAAAAGCCTGTATAACCTCAGACAGACTGTGCAGAGTCAGTAGAAGCTCTTAGTGCTCATACAAGGTCCTTGTGCCCATGGGAGGGAGCCAGTTCCTCTAAAGGATCTACTCTTTAATTCAAAGCAATTCACCAAAAGTGCATCCCTCTGTCCCCATTATTCCACCATTTGTAAGGCGCTGGCAGTGTCCCCCACAAGAAGTCTCTCCTTGATGACAATAAATAAGCCTTGGACAGAAGGGGCATTGGGGCTGCCAAGTGTAAAGTCAGGCAAAAATAAAAGAAAGCAGCTGCCAGAGTTAACACCCCAATGAATTTTTACATCTTGTGACAAAATACAGTAGTTTGCAATTCCACAGCTCTTTGGTGCAGGAAGGGAACCACTCAAGCAGGAAGTCAGAAATATTTTGTCTCCCTAAATGACATTTTTCAAACATGAAGAAAAAAAAAATAAAAATAATTCTAGGAGCAAGCCTACTTATAGACTTAAAACTCCTAAAAGCTGTCATCCCCCATTTATATGAATGCATTTCAGTGTGGAAAAAAAACCCAAGAGTGTAGGTAGCCCACTAACACCAAGGGACACAGAACTCAGCATAGCTTTTGTAGACCCTTTCAGCAGTCTCCCTGTGACACAAAGGAAGGGACAGCACTTGTTACGAACGCTAAAAAGCTTTCTTTACATCACTAAAGCACTTTTCCTTCTCTTTTTATCAGCAACTGGACACTAGTAAAGTTCGCCAACTGGAAAGCGCGTAAAAAGTTAAATTTTTGACCTCAAAAATTATAAAAAATATAAAATTATGACCTCAAATGGTCATAATCCGTTTGAAACCCATCCTGGGGGAGCAGAACCCAGTGGCCAGGGCTGGAGGTTGAGGAAGGGACGTACTTTCGAGCTTGCTGTAACAAGTCCTCCTTCCGCTGAACCAACATGCGCTGCCTTTCGTCGGCCGACTTGGAGAAGCGACTCCCCCTGGCCTCGAAGTCTTCTTGAGTTACAGAATCACAGAATCACAGAATCTTCTGACCTGTTGTGTCTCTTTGTATGCTCTGCTTCTCTGCAGCAAGTCTTGTTAAATTGATGTTTGCCTTGGGAGGCACAGGGCAGATTGATGGTGGGGTTAATGGGATGCCAGTTGATTACAGACATGCTTTTTTTATTCGTAATACGTAACATGAGATTAACGGACTCTCTCCAGTGGTTCCCAGTGACAGGACGAGGGGCAACGGGCACAAGCTGGACCATGGGAAGTTCCACTCCAATGTGAGGAAGAACTTCTTTGGGGTGAGGGTGGCAGAGCCCTGGAAGAGGCTGCCCAGGGAGGGTGTGGAGTCCCCTTTTCTGGAGATCTTCAAGCCCTGCCTGGATGCTCCTGAGTGATGTGCTCTGGGCAGCCCTGCTTTGGCAGGGGAGTGGGACTGGAGGATCTCTAGAGGTCCCTTCCAACTCTGACAATTCTGTGATTCCATGGAAATACCTCCCTGGTACATCCACAAGGCAAGGGAGGGCACAAGGCACACTGAAAGCAGGAAAACACCTTGATAAAAGTGCACACATAAGCTATGTATTCAAATAAAAAAGCCTGTATAACCTCAGACAGACTGTGCAGAGTCAGTAGAAGCTCTTAGTGCTCATACAAGGTCCTTGTGCCCATGGGAGGGAGCCAGTTCCTCTAAAGGATCTACTCTTTAATTCAAAGCAATTCACCAAAAGTGCATCCCTCTGTCCCCATTATTCCACCATTTGTAAGGCGCTGGCAGTGTCCCCCACAAGAAGTCTCTCCTTGATGACAATAAATAAGCCTTGGACAGAAGGGGCATTGGGGCTGCCAAGTGTAAAGTCAGGCAAAAATAAAAGAAAGCAGCTGCCAGAGTTAACACCCCAATGAATTTTTACATCTTGTGACAAAATACAGTAGTTTGCAATTCCACAGCTCTTTGGTGCAGGAAGGGAACCACTCAAGCAGGAAGTCAGAAATATTTTGTCTCCCTAAATGACATTTTTCAAACATGAAGAAAAAAAAAATAAAAATAATTCTAGGAGCAAGCCTACTTATAGACTTAAAACTCCTAAAAGCTGTCATCCCCCATTTATATGAATGCATTTCAGTGTGGAAAAAAAACCCAAGAGTGTAGGTAGCCCACTAACACCAAGGGACACAGAACTCAGCATAGCTTTTGTAGACCCTTTCAGCAGTCTCCCTGTGACACAAAGGAAGGGACAGCACTTGTTACGAACGCTAAAAAGCTTTCTTTACATCACTAAAGCACTTTTCCTTCTCTTTTTATCAGCAACTGGACACTAGTAAAGTTCGCCAACTGGAAAGCGCGTAAAAAGTTAAATTTTTGACCTCAAAAATTATAAAAAATATAAAATTATGACCTCAAATGGTCATAATCCGTTTGAAACCCATCCTGGGGGAGCAGAACCCAGTGGCCAGGGCTGGAGGTTGAGGAAGGGACGTACTTTCGAGCTTGCTGTAACAAGTCCTCCTTCCGCTGAACCAACATGCGCTGCCTTTCGTCGGCCGACTTGGAGAAGCGACTGCCCCTGGCCTCGAAGTCCTCTGCTTCGCTGGGCTCCCCTTCTGCTTCGCTCAGCTCCACCGTCTCCTCCAGTCTGGAGCTGAGCTCAAGTGGCACTCGCTCAGTCTAAGAGAAAAGGGAAAAAAAAACCCCAGTCGTTAAGCCTTTGCAAAACTTGCGAGCGGCGCTTCTTTGCACCAAATCAACCAGCTACAAAGAACTGTCATTTTTTGGAGACATCGGAAAAAAAAATCAGACTCTCACCTGCTGTACCCTGTTCCCTTGGGCTGCTTTGAAAACCCCGGCCAAAAGCCAGAACAAAGCTATTTCAGAACACGTTCAAAGTGCCTGTATTCTATAACGCTGTATCTTTTATGCCGCGTTTGAAAGTGATCTCAAAGACAAACATTAATTACTCATAATTAACGCTCTGGGAAAATGGGGCGTTCGAAACAGTCCCGTTCTGCAGCTGACCCGACCAAGCAGTGCAACCGTTAAGGAGCTGAAAAAGCAGAAATTCATACACTTAAGGAAAGAAGAGCAACCCTATCTGCAAAGAGGACGTGTGCTTGAGAGGGGAATGGATGAGGCTTCACTTCACCAAGTGGCGGCCAGTGACGAGTGGTGTGCCTCAGGGGTCAGTACTGGGACCAGTGCTGTTCAACATCTTTGTTGGAGACATGGACAGTGAGATGGAGCACACCCTCAGCAAGTTTGGCAATGACACCAAGCTGTGTGGCACAGTCGACACGCTGGAGGGAAGGGATGCCATCCAGAGGGACCTGAGCAGCCTGGAGAGGTGGGCTCATGCAAATCACATGAAGTTCAACCAAGCCAACGTGGCAAGACGAGGCACAAATAGAGGTTGGGCGGAGAATGGCTGGAGAGCAGCCCTGAGGAG